ACCCTCCCAAGAAGTCTTTCTTTCGCGGTGATGCAGATACCCCTGATCGCTTCAAGATGCCGCGCCGCTCCACTCTCGCTGACAAGGTCGAGCTCGACGTCCTGCTCAAGGCAGCCATGATCGACTACGAGGACCGCAGATACTTCCCTCTCACCGCCGCCACCGTCCACGATCTCTCCCCCTTCTGGAAGGGATCAAAGCCAGTTTCCGAAGTTGGCATCTTCAACCGCATCATGATTGACAAGGAAGTCAATGCCATTCACGCCGATCACGTCGTTGCCGCGCTCAAGCGCATCGGTGAGCATTGCCACCACCTCGTCATTCTGGCACCAATTCAGACTTCGGAGCTGGGCAATGTCTTTGCCCGTGAAGAAGGCAACATCTATCCCGGAAACGACTGGGACCACCTTCTCCGCTTCTTCCCCGCCCTCACACACCTCGTCTTCATCCACCCCAAGCACATCCCCTTTGGCCTCTCCATCAACTCCCTCGACTCCCTCCGAGCCGCTGTCGCTCGCCGCCAGGCTGTCCGCGCTTTCAAGGAGGTGTCCATCAGGGTACCTTCTGCTCTCCTCGCCGCGACCGCCCACAGTGGTTGAGATCTGCCCGCTGTCCTCTTCAGCAACCATGGCCTCTGAAGATCGGGGTGGATGCCTTCGGGCTGACCCATGACGGATGGGATCAGGTTGCAAAGTCCTCTGCATGAGGCAAAACGAATTTTCCTCTTATTGGGAAGGCGTTGGGGCTGGGTTTGTCCCCTGGGCGTCTGGTTTTGGGTGCGGGATTTGATTTTTGTAGGATACCCAAGATTTAGTAAAATGAAGTATGACTGCAACTTTGTGATTCACAACGTGAGAATTGTAATAGAATAATGATGCAATGTCGCCTCCCACTCCCCAACACCAGCCCTCAAACCCATACCTAGATTTAAATTTCCATAGCACCCCCCTCTTCCCTCAATACTTGGGCTTAAACGGCACCATCCCCAACTGCACCGCCGGATCACCCTCGACCCCAAGCACACCATACAACCACCTCAAGACCACAAAAAAGCTCTCCGGCTCACCCATGTGCATCCCACCCTGAACAAACCGCACCTCCTTGGGCGCCCCCCTCTGCACACACAGCAAATAATCATCAATGGGAAACACCTCATCCAGGGTCCCATTCACAAGCAGCAACCGCGCGCATGCCATCCGATCCAACGTGCCATCCTCCAGTAAACTAAACTTTGCTTGCGCCTCGCGCTTAAACGCCGCCACGGATGCGTACCCGAATTTCTGCGCCAGCGTCTCGGCAAGGTCGAATGGGTATTCGAGCTCGTTGACGCGGTCGAGCCAGCGGGGTGAAAACATGTAGTGTGCGCCACCCCCGAGGGCGGCGACGCCGGCTAGATGGTGTGCGTGCGTGTGGGCGACGCGGATGCCGTAGTAGGCGCCTGTGCTGAAGGCCCAGAGGGCGATTTTGTCCTGGGCGAGACGGGGTTGGTGGGCGGTCCAGGCGAAGAGGCTGGAGTAGAGGCGGTCTGGGGAGGTCGGGTCTGAGGGGTCGGCGGGACAGTCTGCAGTGCCTGGGATTTCGAGGACGATGGTGGCGATGCCGAGGTTGAGGAAGGAGGACATCCAGACGCAGAGTTCGGTGCGGTAGCCGTCGAGGCCGGTGAAGATGATGAGGGTGGGGCAGGGGGAGGTTGGGGAGGCGGTTGGGGGGACGAGGTGGTAGATGGGTATGTTGGGGCCTTCGTTGGGGAGGCGGTGGATGTGGGGGATGTTGATTTCTTGGACGGCGTGAGGGAGGAGGCCGAGGCCTTTTATACACATCTTCTTCCCGAGCTCCCATGCTTCCTTTTGCACGGGGCTGCGGGGCGCAGGGAAGCGCGCGATGCGGTATACGGCGCTGGAACGGAGGTAGTATTCTGAAGCCTTTTCGCGTTCACCATTGGCTTCAGCGGCAGCGGCGATGGAGGCGAGGTTCTGGGCTTGGGGGAAGAAGGTGGAGGCGTAGGCGTCCCAGTCGTATGGTTCTTTGAAGTTTTTGGCAACGAGTTGGTCGACGACGGGTTGGAAGTCGGTGGCAGTGCTGAACATGAAGGGATATACGCCCATTTCTGCCTGGTTGATGTTAGGGCTGGATCTGCAAAGACAAGAACTCACAAAGGCTGTGATGAAACATGGTCGAGCTTTTAGATTGGAGAAGAGTGGACGAGATCAACGTACAGGTTTCTTCCACTTCGTCTCCCACAACTGCTCAAACGATTCATGGTGCTTCGCCTTGATCCCCAACTTATCCTCGATAAAGAACTTGCCATCTGTTGCTGCCATATTGTCCCTGCTACACTGTGCCCTTTTCAGATGGCCAACTCTTTTACCTCTTATCACCAGTAACCTCCCTTATGCACGTTCAGAGGCCAATAATGGAACCTGATCCGTGCCCACACTTGGATACCACTAAATTGCGATTCAAAAATCCAAGTTCACTGACAACAATTCGATGTCTTGAGTATCAAGGAACCGATTAGAAAAAACAAAGTCAGCCAAACTATTGTTGCGCGTCACCACAACAACCTCCCAGTGGAATTTATATGCATGATCAGTGATCACCTTGAACGTTTCCCGGCACTTGATTGCCGATTGGTAGTACACAATGTCCGCTGTTCCAGGGCGATCGCGCAGGGTCGAGCGGGGAGCCGAACCGAGCTACTACAAGCGCGCAGGAATAGGTGCGTTATATGCATGACATTGGATATTAGGCGCAAGCGCGTACTCTATCGGCATAATGGTTCTCAAATTAGATTTGTGGAGAGGTCAGGTGGATTGTGATGTATGAAATCACTGTGGCTCTAAGGCTGCAGTTCAAGTCGTCCAAACATGGCTTGTCAAACCATCATAAAGCGTGTATAGATTTATCTTTTAGGCAATCACAGATGACGCGATGAGCTCACCTGTACCCGGATTGTTCTCGTATACCGGGAAGTGGCAGGATCATGTCTCATTAATCCCGTAATCCCATGAGCCTACATGCTACACTACGGCTATTTGTGTGCTAAACAAAGTTAGCAATGGTAGTGCAGATGACTATAAAAACTTACGGATACCCTCTACTGGCTTGGGTGTCACACCGACGACCTCAGCAGCAGTCTGCTTCTTGTCCTCGACCACATCTTTCATGAATGGGAAGGTGAGGACCTCCTTGATGCTGTAGTGGTCTGTCAAGAACATGACAAGACGGTCAATTCCCATACCCCAACCACCAGTCGGTGGTAGGCCGTACTCTAGCGCTTGACAGAAGGTCTCGTCGATAAGCTGTGCCTCGTCGTCACCCTGTGACTTCTGGTTGGCTTGCTCTTCCTGTTATCTGTTAGTGCAGTCATTCGATCGTCATCGGAAGACTCACGAATCGTAGACGCTGGTCAAATGGGTCGTTCAACTCAGTGTAGGCATTGCAAATCTCCTTCTTGCAGACGAATGCCTCGAAGCGCTCGCAAAGACCGGGGATATCGCGGTGGTACTTGGCAAGTGGCGACATGACCTCGGGATGACCGACAATAAAAGTAGGGTTAATTGCAGTCTCCTCGATGAATTCGCCGACAAGCTTGTCAATCATCCTCGCGTTTGTACGTGGTTCTGAGCAGTCCACGTTGACCTTCTTCAGCACGCGCTTGAGGAATTCATTCGTCTCGGTAGTGTGTAGCTCGTTTGCCGGGGGGAACTTCTCTCCAGTAGCCTCTTCGAGAGCTGGAATCATCTGGACTCGTCTCCATGGCCGCGCCCAGTTGACGTTGTATGTCTCGCCAGACTGTGTGTGGTATACTGTCTCGTAGCCTCCAGTGACCTCCTTGACCAAGCCACTAACGAGCTCCTCTGTCATATCCAGAACATCGTTGTAGTCGGCATACGCCATATAGAACTCGCAAGTGGTGAACTCTGGGTTGTGAGTGAGATCGATACCCTCATTTCGGAACTGGCGACCAATCTCGTAGACCTTCTCCAAACCACCGACGACCAATTGCTTGAGGTATAGCTCAGGTGCGATACGCATAAACAGTTCCATATCAAGCTCATTGTGGTATGTCTTGAATGGCCGCGCAGTTGCTCCTCCTGCAATCTTGTTCATCATGGGTGTCTGCACTTCAAGGAAATCGCGCTCGTCGAGATACTTGCGAACGTACTTGACAATCTTAGAACGGGTGATGAAAGTATCGCGGGTCGTGTCGTTCATGATGAGGTCGAGGAACCGGTTACGGTGACGCTGTTCTTGATCCTTGTAGCCGCTACATATTGTTAGTGTGAAAGAAGTGCCAGTTGGAATGAGACCTTACAAGTGCTCTGTCGGCAACATCCTCAAGCAAGGCGTGAGGAGAATGACCTCGCGCGCGAAGATACTCAGTTCTCCCTCACCACCCTTCTTCGGGTTTGTTCGCCCAGGGAAACCGATGACGCCGATAATGTCTCCACGTTGGATGTTCTCGTGCTGCTTCTCAAAGGGCACATCTGCCTTGCACTCCTGAAGTTGGCACATGACTTGGATGGTGACACCTTCTGCCTTGCCTATAGGGGGTCAGCGCATGGCAAGTACTCGAGATGTCTATACGTACAAACGTAGAAGTGCAGCGAGCTCGAGAGACATTATTGATTTATTAGATAGGTAG